TGTTCATTCGGTGCAATCGCCCCTTAAATACGTCGGTCAGTCTAACTCTCTCAGCAGCAGCGGCTCAGTGGCGAACGCGCCGTAGGTTCACCGCCGAATTAACCATCGAAGAGACAGTAGCGCCATCGCGGAATGAACAATCCGCGCTTTTACCGGTCTCCACCGCCCGCATGCGCTTAGTACCGCCCCAAAAAATCATTATTTCCCAAAATTTCATTATTTTGGAAAAAAAATTCCCTCACTGAAATCATAATATACTAATCACAAGGTGTACTTAGCCTTAAACCTGATGGATTTTGACAAGCTTGCTCGGGCAGTCCGGATTGTAATTGCCACTGTTTCTAACCGCTAGACATATATCAGGGCGCCGTAATAAGACTTTTGTCGAAAAAACCCGAAGATGACGACTTCAAACCCGAAATCTCCGAACTGTTGAAAAATGAAAAATTTTCAGCCTGAAAAATAAAATAATGAATAATAAAGCAGGGGCGGCTAAGACTTGTTTATTTGTCTGTACTGTATTTCATTTGTATTTCAGCTGGGAAAAATTAAAATAATGAATAATGAATAATGCCAAAAAAAGCCTCATCACTTTTTAAAATTCCTTGGACGGTAACCGGATTTTTCATCTCTTCATGGCCTTAACAACTAATTATTGTATCCCCCGCCAAACGACAGTCGCGGTAAAGCTTATGGTTTCATGTCTGCTCCAGCCAAAACCCAAAGGCCTTCCACAAAACCCCTAAGCCAACCAATTTTTACATACTTTGTAGACATCGTCAGGCCAGATGAGTCTGTGGTACACCTTTGTCTTTGCTTGATTTATTTAACTTTAATCCTACTACCTTCTACGTCCTTACACAGAGATCTATCTCATTTCAAACTATAGGCGCGTTCACACGGTACGTTTTTGGCCCGAGCCTCAATTAGGCCCGTGCCAGTATTGGTACGAGCGCCAGCGTTCACACGGATTTGCGCCCCAACGAAAACGTCGCGACCAAGGCCCGAGCAAATGTGAGCACCAGCTTTCCGGCGAGAGGTAGAGCGGTTAGATCGGCTCTTGCAGCGGTAAGATGCTGCGACGTGCAAACGGTTGTACTTCGACGAAATAAAGTTCAAAACAGTTATTAAAAATTTGGACAAATTTGATCAGGATGGCACGCTTTCAAGATTCGATAATTGCAACTCGCGAACGTAAAGTAAACACTCTAAATCGTACACAAACGCCACTCTCGCCGACATACTGCCAAAGTATCTGTGAGCATATCTGTGCCAATAAAATTTATTGAATTTGAATTTGAATTTGACACCCACAGTATTTACCTCCCCCCTACTTGCGTACGTCCGTGAACGCGGGTTGTCCGTGACTCAACAGGCCCGAGCTAAATTTGGCCCGAGCCAAATCTGGCCCATTTGGCTCGAGCCAATCGACCGTGTGAACGTGGCTTAGATCACGGGATACAGATGTAGTTGGCGACAACTGCCCTTTCTAGTTATTATTGTATAACTATCATCGCCGTTTAGTGGCCTTGCCTCCTTAAGGCCAGCGACCGGATCACACTAGGCCGATAACAATCGGGCTACAAAATCGCCGCCTGAAATCGCTAGTGTGTCACTCAATCGCCGCCGCAATTTAGTCGTCCGATTTCCATCGCATAGATTCAAAACGTTTTGATATTATCGGGCGATTTTTCGCCGAATTTGTCGCCCGATTTAATCGCCTAGTCGTGTCCGGGACCCGCGTATAAAAACTCGCCCCGATTGTACAATTCAATCAGCCAATCAGAGTTGTTCAATGATACTGACGTAATAGCAATGCTTTCATGTTTAGTATGCTCATGTCATGTAAAGCGATGCACGCACGCACGCACGCATGTGTACGTGCCACCACGCACGCACACACTCATGCCACGCACGTGTACCGTGCACACGCAACGACGCACGCATGGCACGCACGCTGTACATGCACACGCACGCCGACGCAACTCTTCTATTACAGTGCACATGCTGCAGCACGCAACACACTGTGTACCTAGCACACGCACACACGCACCGCACGCACGCACGAACGTGTACCTGCACGCACGCACGCATATGCACGCAGGTGAACGTGCACACGGCACGCAGGCACACGTACCCACGCCACGCACGCATGGCCACGCAGCATATCTGTGAAACGTGCACACGCCACCGCACGCACGCCACACACGCACGCAGGCACCGCACGCTGTACGTTCACCACGCACGCACGCACGCAACGCGCTCACGTTAGCTCGTGTGCACACGCACGTCACGTACGCATGTACGCACGTCGTAAGTGACACGCACGAACGCCACAGCTGTACGTACACACGCCACGCACGCCACACACGCACGTGTGTAGCTTGCGCACGCACGCACGCACGCGCGCCCCACGTGATCACGTTCACACGCACGCACGCACGCACCGCACGCACCGTGCTACGTGCACAACGCCACGCACGCACGCACACACTCACGCATGCACGCACGGTTAAACATACACACGCACGCACGGCATGAATGCCACGCAAGTGTGTACGTGCACACGCACGCACGCACGCCCACGCTCTACGTGCACATGCATGCACCGACGTTATTGCAACCGGCGATAAAAATCGTGTAAGCGTGTCCACTCGACTCGCGCGATTAGATCGGGGCGATTAGCGCCGATTAATTGCCTAGTGTGTCGGCCCTTTTAATTGACCGTATGTCACGAATTTTCTATGGTAAAATTTAACAATTGTGCCATTTTTTACATAAAAGTAAGAACTAACGGGATAAACGTATCGTCAAAATCCTGACGTGCATAAGATTTGTTTCGTCAAATAATTAAAAATCCAAAAAACCTGCGCGATTTCGTATAAGTGTCCTACATAATTAAAGTGTTTCTAACATTAATTGCTTGCTATGGGCTATGTATGCGTCACGAGTGTATGTTCACATCGAACAATATAGTAAAATAAGAAGTATAATATGCAGCAATTTAACCAAAGAAAGTGAACAGAATTACTTATAGTACTGTGAAACAGTGGAAATATTTTTTTTATTTTTTACTATTTACGGTGACGTAATAACTTAAATAATAAAAAAACGTTAATTAAATTAAATACGTTAACTAATAACCAAAACTGTTGCTCCATGTTCAGGCGCACAGACCGCTAACGGCTATAAACGATCTGACATTGCTTGCGACAGCAGGCGAGGACAAAATGGAGGTAAGCTGACGTCATCCGTGGACACATATAAACAATGTGTCACACGTGATCTAGAATATGATCTAATTAATTAAATACTGAAGTGTCTATCGTACTATAGTTCAGCCCTATACGCATATTGCGGCCGTTAATCAAGAATATACTCGGTTGACGGATACGGATTTCAGATGCACACGTTTGCGATGAAGTTATCCGGACCCAGTATCGGCCTCACTGCTTATAACTTCTTCACCATCAACAGAGCATTACTGTTAACGGTATGAACTTTCGAGCAGCCATATGGTCGTATATACTGTGCACAGACACGCGTGCGCACACATATACACATGCACGCACGCACGCGGCACACGCACACACACACGTAGGCAGGCAGGCAGGCACGCACGCACACACACACATGCAGGCACGCACGCACGCACGCACGCACGCATGCACGCACGCACGCACACACACACGCACTCACGCGCTCACGCACGCACACAGGCAAACACATTAAATTGCACAATTCCTTTAGTTTGGAATAGAACACGATAAAGATATTTATTGCCAGTTATTATTAACTGAAGCAAACGTTTATCGGGTTGTTTTGCTCATCAGTGAATTTTACGCACGTGATAGTATAACTGAGTACCACTAAGCGAGGAGTATTTTCGCAACCTGACGCTGTCAATTTCATTACCTTCCAGATCTTCGGACTCTTGACGTCGTACTTTATTCTACTCGTACAATTTTTCCCGGACCCTGGGTATTCCGCTGGAGCGAACGGCACGGTGGCAGCATGAAGAGCTGTATGGCAATCACGGGACCTATGACAGTATATGGTGGGAATGGCAGCTACGTCACGTCTCAACACTTTATCTTCAATTATAAAGGAAATAACACTAACAGTAAAAAATATTTTTAAGCAGCGGGAAAACATCGAATATGCCAATATACGTTGTTCCACTGAACTAGGTGCATTTTCAGTTTTACCAAATTATGATTGGTAAATACAAAAGGCTATAACTTCACAGAAATTAGTGTTGTCGTTATTGTATTATATTTTTCTTCATGTTGTATAATAGCATTGTATTGTATTGTTACATTTAAATTTCATTATTTTAACCGCCCAAAACTATTGAATCCATCAGATTTTTCTCCATAAATAGACTGTTTTCAGTACATAGGTATATATTTGTATTTGAATTATATGCAATAAATGTTTATTTTTATTTTATGCCTTTTATGCATATCATAATGATACACTCCTGATAATATGTAACCAAAATTTGTTTAGATTAGTCAGAACACGTATGCATATATCATATGTTATTAGTATTCAATAAAGACGTCATAAAAAAAAGTGTACATGTATTCGCGATTTTGTTGAGTTCTATCCATAATTTTGCGCTTCTTTATTCTTCCAAATACGAGTCATTTCTATTGAGAATTTTGGAAGATGTTTATCGAATTTTATGCTATTAGTAACTTTATTTTCAATAAAACCAACATTAAAAAGCATTGGTTATTTGTCTGTTTGATAACTGTTCCAAATTGAATACTTAATGTAAGAATGTAAATTCAATTTCTATTTTTGCATTAAATTTACTCCAGAAGGCTATAAATTAAGTGTTTAAAGCTTGTAAAATTGCCGTATTTTAATGATGTCGTTTCTGTTCACAAGATCTCAAAATAATTACCAACATGGTTGAGAATTACTTGCAATGTTTTGTGTGCCTGCGTGCGTGTGCACTGTGTGACAGAGACAAACAAAAAACGGTCGTTTCACTAAGATGAAGTTTTATTATTTACATATAATCATAATGGGTGTAAAAATCTTAATTGTACAACAAAAGTGACAGGCTGATATAGGCATTAGCAAAGTCATGACTATCGAATTTTCTCGGCTATTGCCAAGGAATTTATTCCAGTGGGTGTGTAGTCGAGACCAAAGAGCTGGCGCTATTCTCAAATGCTCGGCGAGTCAAGAACAGAAAATTAAAAAGTTACACTGCTGTTGGAATGGCAAAACGTTCTAAAAATGCATCTACGTCTGGTTGTCGGGTTTTAAAATAAAGTTTCTACGCCTGACAAACATTTTCATATGTCGTGTGCCATAACGGAACCTTTACATCTCCTCCTGTCCACTGATCTATACATCATAACTAAACAGCTGCACTTTCCTATCACTATAGCACCACAATTCTAGGCTGATGCTGTCACTTGGTCACCATATCAGTCCATCAAGAGTTGGTTTAACGTGTGAAACATCATTGTTGGAAACATGTGTTTGAATAACGTCCAACATCCTCTCTGCCAATCCCAACTAAGAATTTTGAGCTGACCACACACACACAGCGTACAAGTGACATCACACAATCCCGGAATGTGAGCTATCTAGTTATGCTTATATATATATAGATCCTTGGTCAAGCGATGAACCTGTATTCATTGTCACATATGAACCGCTCGATGCCTTGTGCTCTCACATCAACAAATACTCATCAATAGATCTGCACACAGAAGCTACTGTTTGCCAACGACAGATGGCGCTATCTGCACTGACATCTATCTGAATAAATTGGTGCATCGCGTGGGAGCTATTCGATCGAGCTTGCCTCCTGCATATGCGGGGGGGAATCACCGAATGTACAAAGGCCACATCGAAAGCTACAATTTAAGAGCAGAGGAACACGGAGATTGAGGAAGAAAACTACGATGATGACACAGATATCCTCGGCGCTTTGTACACGATACCGAACGAAATCAGAACAATGACGACGGGTTACAACTCTCTACGAGACATTTCTAACATCACGACCACCCCCTCCCCGCGACGCGGCGCACATACGTGACCAGTAGGTGCGACTAGAGAGAGCGAAAGAGAGAGGCAGGGTGAAAAGACGACGAACTAACTACTTCGACACGACGTCGACCAGCATAGCGCGACAACGGTTTCCGTGACGACACAATTGTGAGACGGCGACCACTGGCACAGACGCACATCCTCGTCAGGATTTCTCCGCGACGGGAAACAGCTTGTCGTCGTCGTCAAGTCGTCGCATCCGAGAGCTCCTCAGCTTCCCTGGCAACTTGGTCTCGTGCGCATCCTCCCCCTACCTCTCGCTCGCCGCCACTCGACGACGGGGCTTCCGTACCGACCGTCTACGTCGCCTCGGTTTGTTCGTGATGTGCGCGGGTGGGCACGACACGCACGCACTATCCTACGTAAATATATACACGTTACACACACGCGACGAAGGTCACTCGGTCGCCGGCGACGCCTGTCTCTCCCTCACGGGTTGACACTCCCCCGGAGTGAGAAGGGAGAAGAGGGGAGGAAGGCGGGGCGACATGCGCGGGAAGCGGTCGCCAAGACGATGGATGGACTCTTTGTCGCTCGTCTTCTGCCGCGGCACGACTCTCTGGAGCTGCAGACGATTTCCGGGCGTCGTTGCCGGCGGGGGAACGCACGTGCAGCGGCCGAGCGTCGGGGAAACTGCGCGGATGCGGTCGTCGGTTGCCGTGACGACGACGACGGCGGCCGCGGCTAACCATGCCGATCTCTCTTCCCACGAGTGCTCCGCTCCGCAGCCACCAACACCAGGTGGCGTGTGCGTGCGATGAGTCGCCGATGCGGGGCGATGATCGCCGCTGACGCAGCTGCGCACCAGTCCTTCCCTACAGCCGCCCCTCCTCTCCTCGCGCCTCCTCATCCCGCATGCTTCCGCGTCCGTCAACCAGGCGTCGTCCGCCGGGCGCTCCCGGCATAAAAAGGGATAAAATGATACACTGTACAGTCGACGCGGCGTCTCGTCGCTCGCTCAGTCGCCCTCTATGCTCGGCAGCCAGAACGCCTGCAGGGAAGAGACAGCGGTGGGAAGAATTAGTCAACGTCACGCGCATCCGTCTACAATGCTCCTTCGCGGGTGAATAACGAGCATTGCTACATTATGCGAGTAGCTACAAAACATGCCAAACCGTGATGTACTTTCACAGTCAACCCCGTCACAAGAGTGACGCGAAGCAAATCTCATTCGTGTCTTTTATAGGCGGGTGTTCACTCTAGTATAAAGATTTCATATGGTGTTTTCATCATTACCACCTTTATCATTTTCTATTTAGAATTATATCAAGAATCAGCAAGAGCACGAAATCGAACAGAACCTATTTTCTAACATTTCACCAATATTTTTGTGCTTTACGGGGGAAAAAAGTCGTTGAACCGACGTTTCTACCAAACATAAACATTTTACCTGAAAAAACGTATAACAACAGGCGTTTTGTGTAATCCTAAAAAAAGCCCAACACTAATAGTATGTAGTAGAAGCTACCATAACTTCTTTTTTACATGTACTACGACACGTATCGAGTAGTGCACCACCACTCACCATGTTGGAACAGGCACTCGCTAGCATCATGAACTTGGGGTTGAACTGGACTGCCTGCACGGGCCCCGTGTGATCGCAATTCAGGTTGGCCGTCTTCGTGCCGTTCTCTGCGTTCCAAACGTGGATCCAACCGTCGGTCGACCCTGGCAAGAACGAAAAGCGTCAAATTTTTATTACATCGTATTATATTATTATCCGTCCAAACAAGACAACCCCCTCCGCTACCGTCTTTGAATGGTGCTGCTACTGCTAGGTCGGTCAAGCTAGGTCAGTCTGTATTCGTTTTTTTTTTTTTGCACGTGCATGCAAAAACGTCAACTTTACGGCACTTCATTGCTACGCATCGTTTTTAGAACGTACTCTCGGAACACTGATTGGCTAGAGCTGTGTGTCGATCATGCCAGGCGGACATACGCCGCTAAAACCGATCGCTGACTTTCGACGCCGTTGCGAATCACCTGCGACGTCTGGCTACTCACCGGAGAAGACGAATTGTGAGTCAGGACTGAAGGACGCCTCTAGCGGAATATTCTTCATATTTGTGTGACCCTGCGAAAATTCAACACGCACATCTCACGATCACAATACCAACGGCCAATGCTAACAACACAACGACTTCATGCACATTACTTACAGTGTAATATCATATAATAAAGCCAACCCTGTCTGCAAGGGTCACTGCAGGGCAACCCCATTGCCCTTAAATAGACAGGTGACCGTTCTATAGCGGTTGCTTCAGTGTATAACCGTCACTTAAAGGAAACGCTAAATGTGTTCTTCATACACAGGTGCTCACTAACACAGGTTCAACTGCACAAACCAAATCTCAAACCATCTACGCACGTCAAAGTCGTACTTGGCTCGGCATCCCACCTTTGAAAGGAAATTTTGCTTCCCTCCCCCCCCTGTTGGATCGATAATACTACAAACTCACTCAAACAGTACAGACTTTGTTTACTTCAAAAAGCACATCACAGCTACACAGCCACTCCAACTAACCAGCCTCCTTACGCACATGCGCGAGCTGGGCATCCGCTTCCGGTCCAGACGGGAAGGGAGATAACTCTCATTAAAGTTGGCATGTATACAGATAGTACATAGTTAACACCCCCAACTAGCCGTAGTGTTCCAACATTTCTGATTTAGCCAAGACACTAAGCCCTTGCCCCCAAATAATATAATAATAATTGACAATTTAAACAATAAAACGATAATGATGAAGACGACAAAACAACATATAATGATAAAACAATAATAATTGACGTCTACATCAAGACCGACACACGACACGAGTTCCCTCTACGACTAGCTAACTGTAAGATGGCTCTACAGCCATCACTCACCATGAACGTTTGCAGCGGCTGTCCCTGAAAGGAGTCGACTAGCCGGATCACCTGTCCGTTGGTCGAGATCAGGATCATCTTTCCGTCGGGACTGAACTTCATGCCCGTCCACTCGCAGTCGCGGTCCTGCGGTAGCCGGAACGTGTTGAACGGGCCCTGCCACGATGCGGAGAGACAGACACCACCGCGTTAGTACTCGCTGCTGTGCTAGGTGCTGGCACCCGACGGGGAGCGGCGGTGCGCAACACTCGCCTACGAGGCGGCTGCTTCGTTTCGCGATGCTTTCAACGTAAGGCACGCTCACACACATGCACGCACACACGCACGCATGCACACACGTATGCACAAACATTTACATGCACGCACGATCCCAGGGTTCACTCGCTCACACACGCTCCCGTCTCCCTTCTCGTCGTGCCCTCCTACCTTGTCGAACGATCGCAGGTCATATAGCTTGATCATCTCGGAGTTGATCCCCGCAGCGAATATGAGGCCCTCCGGATCGAAAGCGGCAACGGGTCGACTCGACAAGTGCATGAGACCCTGCAATGCATACGCAACGAGTCACACGCTGCTCCGCCTGCCAGTGGAACCCGAGAATTCCATTCCAGAATGAAATACACGGAATCAACCAGCACAACGTGACGGCAAGTGCCGCGGTTGCCCTCCACGACTCTTAAGTGGTCTCTCACAAAATGAGGCTGACATTCCCGGCAATGAAACGTCGTGACTGCCCTATAAATCCATTGTAGTTGATATATTAATGAATTGTGGAAGTACAGAATGTTTCGTAGGATTTATGCTAACGAGGCATATGCAAATTTTCGCCTGCCGCTGTCGCTGTTTTATATTCAACGCGATAACTGACAAACTTCGCCAAGAGGTGGCGTTAGCGTATGTGACGTCAGCAGCCCACTCTCGCCACGAGGAGAGAATTAGGTTCTGGTAGACATGGTTGTATTCTCTTCTTCTCGTATAAAGTGCTTTTAAAGACACCCCTCCTCGCTGTAAACACATTAAAATTTGAGCGCGGGGCACGTCGATCATGCATCTTCGACGCCGCGCCTGCATCTGCTTCCTTCTCCTCACCTGACAGTTTGCCGACCGGAGATCCCAGATGCGAATCGTCTTGTCGAGCGAAGCCGAGAGGAACGTGTCGTCGATCGGCGACATGACGAGCGTCGTCACCCTGCAAAGGACAAGAGAACATCATTCCGCGGAAAACGAGAGCGTGGGGTGTGGCCGTCGCAGCAAATGTTTCAGCTCCAGTACACGCATTTGTATTTGAATTACATGCAATAAAGATTTAATAATGATGATGTAGAGTTCGTTCTAGCACGGTGTGTGTGGTGCACGTCGGTGATGATCAAAGACATATAGCATGGGACGCTGATCGATGCAAGCGTGGTCGAAATGGTTATAGAGTGGTGACTTTATGGCTATATACTTACTTTTTCGTGTGGCCTGTGAAATATCGGATGTATTTGTTGTCGTGCAGAGACAGGTACCGTATCGTGTCTGTAAATGCAAAACAGCAAGTGCTATTTGGTCATGACATCACCAGCATAGCTTGAAATTTTATTCATTTGGTCAAATATATTATTAAAATTATCTGCTAGCTCTTAAATAACATGTGCTTTTCCACTGAAGAAATCATATATACATATACATCTAGACGAATCAAACATATAGAATGAAACCACTAATAGATAATAATTAGCAGATCAATGTATAATTTGAATAGCTGAGGATTGCAACTGCACTAACTTGAAGAAATGAGGTATATGAATAGCTTCTAAAAGTAGGAAATTCATATAATCATACCATCGACTTTGTTGGACCCATGTACTGCTGTATTGGAAGCATGAGTGAATTTTATCAAGTCAACACCATACTTCTTGCTGTTTAATGTTCTCTTTGGCCTAAAAGCACCAATATACACTATTTTAAAATATATGACTTGAATAAAACACTTATAGTTGGAATAATGGTTACATTAACATTGTTAAACAAAGTTTTAGTATTACTTAATAATTTACTTATTTACTAAAAGCCTTGAGATCGAGTTCGTTCATTCAATTCAGTTTCACACAATTATGCAATTGTCATTGTGATAACTTACAACTTATGAGAGCCAAAGTTACTCTAAAACATGAAATTAAATATAAATTCTCTTGAAACATCAATAAATGAAATAGTTAGAACTCGTATGCCAAAATTCTACTGAATAACTAGGTAGCACACTAAACTAACTTAAATATTATCACACCAGCTTGCCAATTACATTTACACATACACTAGCAATTGTTATACAGTACCACATGTAAATAAGTAATTTACAGGCACTTCAAAAACTTTATATGTGAAAAACGTTAAAGTAGGTACACGTGTATTATTATGCTTATGGTACAACACAGGTTACATGTCGTTTCTCACAAAGGATTTCGCACGCCACTAAACAATGCCGGCCGGTGTCGGCGGTGACAGCGGCTTTTACTTATTCTTGGCACATTGGCCTTTATGGATGAACTGGAAGACAAATATCCCACCAACCCGTGAATTGTGTGTTATACGTAACATGGGGAATGGAATGTTCACTTACGCTCCGTTCTGACAATCATAAATGACAATCTGATCGTCATCAGCGCTGGAAATGAGAAGTTCACCGTTTGGTGAGAAATCGATGCTATTTATACGGTCACTATTTTCACGAAAAACCTTCGCAACGCGAAAGCTTCTCACGACATTATCGTTCAATTTCATTTCTCTAGATATAGCATCGGAACATGTCACTGCATAAATATTGGAGACGGGCATAGAAACATGTAAATGGGAAGTTTTGGAACACGTGTTGTACAATTTCCTTAACGGTTTTCTTCTTCGGGCGGACACAAGCGTCACAACCTACGGATATACTGCACTCTCATTGGCTTGAAAGTTCAAATTAATATTCAACTATTTATGGCCTACACTTTTTAACAAAATTAAATATACTATGTAACTAAATAAAAGTGTATATAGTTTATAAAATACAAAATACATGTTTATTTTTAACATTTGTTTGATTAATTTACGCCCTATCGTCTAGCGAACTGACCTTATACTCCTTACATAAACAACACGATATCGTGGTGAGTTGTTATTTTTAGGCCGGTGTTTGATCATTTTGGAGTTTTGTTTTTCTGTAATTGTTTCAAACTGATGAAGATCATGGTATTTAGTAAGTCACACACCACACCAATTATTTTTCTTTCTTTTCACGTCCCTAGAATATGTAAATATTGCAATAGTTTCTAGATTGTACATTGATTGTAAACGATACCGGTAGGCGGTAGTCGATAGCCGGATACAGGATAGGCCTACATCGTCAGATCATGCACGCCAAATGTAGGCACACANGCGGGGTGGGGCGAGGTTTATTACATCATTAATATGGACAGGGTTTACAGTGTCACAGAGGGGTGGGGCAGGGTGTGGCGAGGCGGGGCGGGGCGGGGCAGGCGGGGCAGGTGGGGCGAGGCTTATTACATCATTAATATGGTCAGGATTAACAGCGTCACAGAGGGGCGGGGCAGGGCGTGGCGAGGCGGGGCGGGCAGGCGGGGCGAGGCTTATTACATCATTAATATGGTCAGGGTAAACAGCGTCACAGAGGGCGCGTGTGCTCCAGGTGATGATTGATTGTGTGTCAGTCTCGATGTCAGTTTGTATGAGGTTAGTGTTAGTGTGAGGATAGTGTGCAGATTTATATGTGTATATATATATATATA